TCTCTCCCTGGAGCATGGACAAGGCCTGGGCATATAAGAGGGTGTACACTGTGATCACATGGCATTTTAAGACAAACGTTCAGGGAGGCTGTCATTAATAAGGGTCCAACTCAGTTGACTCTGATTAATCAAAAGGATGATTATGATAGACAGGCTTGATGTGATCAGATAAAGAACTTCTTAAAAGAGGTGTGGAGCACCTCTTGAAGAAAAAAATTGTCTTTTCAGTGCCATACTGTGAGCTGCCTACAGAACCTGAGCCTCAGGAAGCCCATGGCTTTGGTCATACAGTTAGAAGAAGCCATGTATGAACTCTGTAATAATGAACTCATATTGTTTTAAGCCGCTGAATTTATGATGATCTGTTCTACAGAGTTAGAAAACTGATCTGGCACAGTATCCACCAGAACAGTCAAGCAAAAACCACTACTACCACCATCACCACCAACACAATAAAATAAGGTCAGGCACATTATAAAATATGTACAGGACAGGGGACTAAGCTAGCATTCTAAGTCTAGCTTTGTCTGAAAAATAATATATCATATGCTGGTTAGTTTCTGTCAACTTGACACAAATTAGAGTTACCAGGGAAGAGGGACCCTCTCTTGAGTGATCACCTCCTTTTGATTGGCCTGTGGGTCAGTCAATGGGGGCATTTTTTTGTTTGATGGTTGATGTGGGAGGGCCCAGCCCACTGTGGGTGGTACCACCCCTGGCCAGGTGGTCTTGGGCTGTATAAGAAAGCAGACTAATCAAGCCACGAGGAAAAAGGCAGTAAGCAGTGCTCCTCCATGATTCCTGCCTCTGCTCCTACTTGAGTTCCTGCCCTGACTTATCTTAGTAGTTGACTGCGATCGGGATGTGTAAGCCAAAAAAACTCTTTCCTCCCCAACTTGCTTTTGGTTAGTGTTTCTATCGCAGCAATAGAATAGCAGGCCAGAACAGGCCAGATCAGGAGACTAATAATCACACGGCTGTGGTTGTATTTAGAGTCACGTGTCCTTTATCTGTTCTTCAGCGTCTCTACCGCCCATTTCTCTTCTAGGAATAATTTCTCTGGCCTTCTTCCTCTATGCTAGGTCCCTGTTCTACACCCCATGAACACAGAGAAGATGATGTCAGGATCTTTATTCAAGGTCTATTAGAAGAATAAGTTGTACATAAATAAAATATGTGTGGTTGAGTGTGTTAAATGCTCACATGTGTGCCTGTATGCACATGACATTATATATTTCTTTAAGTTATAACTGTACATGTATAGTTTGGGAGGAACAGCAGTTGAGATTGGCTCAAGTCACTTTGCAAAAAGGCTTTTTCTGTATAAAAGGATTGAAGAGTAGAGTGAACATTTTTGCTGTTGCTAACAAATGGTGACGAATAATGAAAAATACTATTCAGTGAAGTAATGTAATCTATGCTGAGTTGTGCAAAGGTGTGTGTGACAGTAGTGGGGAGCTAGGAAGCAAGAGAAGCAGTAAAGAAACTAGCACAGGGTGCAGACATGTCCATCTAACAGTGAAAGGCAATGAGGGTTGGCTCAATTTTAAATAGCTATCATTGAATCTGTGCTCCAGAGGTGACAGACATGTGAGTGGCAATCTCCAGTGTCTGCAGAGTGGGACAGAGGATGGAGTTGAGAAAGCATGAACTCCAGTGTCGGGAAATCCGCTGCACTCTAGCTAGAACAGGGAAGGGTTCACCTCAAGGTCTGCAGGTCTGAGAGTACCCCAGGAATAGGAAAAGCTCAGGAACACAGCTCTACCATTTGAGTTTGGTGGCCTGCCTGCAGCCCTCTGGGAAAGTTCAGGCACATTCTAGCTCAGACAATTTTAGCACTTCATTCCCCTCATCACTTCCTTACTGGACATATGGATCAGACTCAAGTTCTGTACATGCTTGGTAATCACCCTCCCACTGAGCTACATTCCCGTCCCTCTACCATGTATAAAAAGTCCCTGTATTCATCCTGCAAGGATGATTCTAGCTCATCTCCCCTTTGTATTCTCATGCCCATTGTCACCCCAAGATGTGCTCTCTCAGAGGGGAAAGTTCATTGTAGCACAAGGACAAGGCTGAAAGGATCTGTCACTTGACCAACTAGATCAACTGATTCATATGATAGGAAAGGCACCCTGCTCTTTATTCAGACTCAGGACTAAGATGTTCTTTTTCCTACCAAACTCTAAATAAGCTGTACTGGCATTCACTCCATCCATTCACTTATTTGTTTACTTACTTCTTTACTGACAATTATTTGTTTGAACAAAGATCCTATTTTAGGCCCTGCAGTGGAGTGTTTAAGCTCTCATGGAGCTGGCACAGATGGAGGAGAATATGAGCAGTGAGCCAATAAATGAATGAGAAAACTTTGAAGTTTTAAGTTGTTACGGTTTGAATGTGCCTTCCTCAAAGGTCATATATTGGAGGCTTAGTCTTTTTTTTTTTCTTTTTTTTTTTTTTTTTTTTTTTTTTTTTGGTTTTTCGAGACAGGGTTTCTCTGTGTAGCTTTGTGCCTTTCCTGGAACTCGCTTTGGAGACCAGGCTGGCCTCGAACTCACAGAGATCTGCCTGGCTCTGCCTCCCAAGTGCTGGGATTAAAGGCGTGCGCCACCACCGCCCGGCTGGAGGCTTAGTCTTTAAAGTCATATATGTTCATGTTACTTGGAGGTAGAGCCTTTGGGAGGTAATTAGGATTAGACTATGTCATAAAAATCGAGGGTAGCATCTTTTATGATTGTATTAGTGGATCTTTAAGAAAAACACAAAACAAAACAGGGTTGGGGAGATAGTTCAGTGAAAGTGTCTTCATGCCTTGCAAGCATGAAGACCTGAATTTCATTCCCAGAATCTACATGAAAAATAAACAAACACCCCAGTGTTAGGGTACATGCATGCATTCCCAGTGCTGTGGAGGTAGAGGCAAGAGGACACTTGGAACTCAATAGTCAACCAGTCTAGCCTAATAAGTAAACCCCAGGTCTCAATGAGAGACCGCATCTAACAAACAAACAAACTCAAGATGAATGACATCTGAAGAACATCCTAAGTTGACCTCTAGGTTCCATATATGCACACACACAACCCTCCCTCCCTTATGCACTCACATGCACATACACACACACACACACACACACACACACACACACACACACACACACACACACTAAATAAATAGAAGGGGCTTCTGAGCTAGCTTGCAATGCCTTTTGCCATGTCATAATGCAGCAAGATGGCTCTCCCCTGATGCCAAGTAGATACCTACATCATGTTCTTAGACTTCCCAGCCTCTAGAAAACTTCCAATAAACTAAGTAAATTTCTATTCTTTATAAATTACCTTGTATGATTCAGGTATATAGCAACAGTAAACAAATGAAGATGTAAGTGCTTGGAAAAAACTTGTCAAGTCACACATGCTTCCAAACTACTCTTGGGTTTTCTATCTTAACAGATTTCATACCAATCAGTTAATGACCTAAGTCCCAAACCTTGGAAGTATCCTGAATTCATGTCTCTCATTTATCCTATACTTTCAACTATCAGTTACCAAACCATGTGGATTTCAACTCTGAATAGCTTTCAAATCTACCAGCTCTTTTCTATCCCATAATACTTCATGCTGAGTCATTATTTGTTTAAATTACTTCAGTATTCCTGACAAGTGTCCCCTCTCCAGTCATAGTCTCTTCCTTTATATCATTTCCTTGTTTAGAATAATTGAGCAGTTTCTCTAGTCACGTTCAGTATCCTTAGCACAGACCACATAGTATTTCATTATCTGCATCCAGTACCTGGATTAGTATATCTGTTACAATCAATAATTGTCAGTAAATAAGTGAACAAATGAATGGATGGGTAATTATCGGCACCAGCACAGGGCTTGATTAGAACTCTTCAGCTTCATTTCTCTATAGTCTACCGCCCTACATAGTTTTCTCTCAGCCAGATTTGCAGATAGACATGTCTTTATAGCTTGTGCTATCCCTTGAAGTGTCTTTAATGTTCACTTAGAGAGACCTTTTCCATTTATTTTTTACTGAGACAAGGTCTCATGTAGGTTCGGCTGGTCTTAAACTTACTATGTAACTGAAGCTATCCTTAAACTGCTGATCCTCATGTTTCCACCTCAGGCTGGAGATGGAACCCAGGGTTTTATGCATGCTAGGCAGGTACTCTACCAACTGAGCTACCTCCTCAGGCCCAAGACCCTTCTTATGACCCATAATTTCTTAAAACGATTACATTGAGAAGGTATGTGAAGCCCTAAAAAGAAAGATGACCATGATTATGTCTTATATAAGCTTGCTGAAGTTCCCCAAATTTGGAATAGTCTCCCTATTTGCAGTGAAGTCTTTCCAGAGTACAAAATACAGGTGGGGGCCTTGTTTTTCTTACTGTTTTAACAAAATGGACACATGCACAGAAAAATCTTCTGAGCTGTGATGCTTATCATTTTATGAGCTACTCGATACTATTATTGACAGCCTAGAACTGATACTGATGGGTCACAAGACTGGGACAAATTTCTGAAAGCCACCATACCAAATAGCACACAATAGCAATATAATGTAGTACTCAGTCCTGAGGTTTGGTTGTCATAGTTTCTAGTCCCAAACTGTTGCTTGTTACACACTGGCAGCAGTTCTCTGTTCCCAGGGCCCTTGATGTAGCCCACACCAGCCTGCTACTCTCCCTAGAAGGATCTGGAACCACATGTCTCCATTAAACCAATATCTACTGGGAGGGGACCCCCAAGCTACCTCTCAGACTGTAGACCTGGCCTTCCATGATGTCTTTAGAAACTCTCTGAGGAAAGAAAGTCATTTCCTTGCAGTGGGATTCTATTGGAATGTAAGACCCCTGACAAATTGCTCACACTTGTACACACAAGAATGCCCCCAGTTCTCACTCATCACTGACCACACTTCCTAACTGCACAGAGTCTTCAACTCTCCAAGTGTGTCAGGCCCTAGAAGGGGTGGTAGAAGAATCCCTTACTTGCATTCAACAGAGCTCGGATCTTCTTTTCTTCTTCTGCTTCTTGAAGTACCTTTTCAGCCAGTGTTTTCTCCTCTGATTCGATGCATATGTCAGCTTCCCGGAGATATTGCAGGTAGTCAATCTCCCGCTGGGCACGCTCCACTCTCAATGCCAGGTTGTCGACTGCACTCTTATATTCACTTGTGTGGGTCTGACACTTCCCCAGCATGATGGAGATGTTTTTTGAGAATTCCTGGAAGTCTTGAATGTATGCCCTTGTCGTTTGGGTACATTTTTCCAGTCCTTTCTTCAAACAGGAGATAAATTACCAAGTTACCAAATTACTGCAAATTATTTCAATTATTTGCATAATACAAATAACTATCATTCATAGAAAAAGATTATTAGAAAAGTATAATCAAAAGGAGCAAATAATCCATAATCCTAAATTCATAGGTACTACTGACATTTAGTATACGAGTTTTTAAATTTTCCAATTTAAAATGTATTTCATGATGCACATAAATATATATTTGCACATGATTTTACTAAATATCTGTTTATTTTAATTTGTTGATATATTGTTAACATTTAAATATTGTTCTTACATTATTATGATTATGTTATATTATTATATATTATCATATCATTATAGCACACACTATAATTTTTTTGCATTGATCATGTTTTTCTAACTAACAAATGAAACACCTATATAATTGTTGTACATGTGATATTTTGATGTAGAATGATTAAATCAAGCAAGTTAAGACATGTATTATTTCACATATTTACTTTTGAGGTAGTAAAAATCTATTCTCTCAATATCTAGATATGCAGTGTTTTGCTATTTTCTATAGTAATGACAGGTACAATAGATCTCTTGGACATGTTCTTTCGTGTGTGTGTGTGTGTGTGTGTGTGTGTGTGCATCTGTGTGTCTATGTGCACATGCAGGTGTACATATGGAGGCCACAGAGCAACATCAGCTGCCTTTCACAATTGTTTGAACCCCTTATGCTTTGAGGCCGTGTCTCTCATTGAGTCTGAAGCTCATTAACTGTCTAGCCTGCCTAGCCAGCAAGCCCCAGAGAACTGCCTGCCTCTGCCTCCACAGCACTGGGCTTACAGATGGACATCACCACACCTTACTTTTCATGTGGGAGCTGGGGATCTGAACTCAGGTCCTCATGCTTAGGCAGCACACTGTACTGACTGAGTCATCTCCCTACCACCAGAACTTATTCTAATGGAAACTTTATATTCTTCGATCAATATCTCCTTACTCCTCATGCTTCTCTGTTTTTATGAGTTCAACTTTTTCAGATTAAATGTACAGCGAAATCTTTCATTTAGTGTTTATCTTCTTGTGGCTAGCTTATTTCACTCAGTAGAAGATCTTGCAAGTCCATCTACAGTGTCATATATAAGCTTCATTTCAAAGGATGAACAACATTGTATTGTGTAGATATGCATTTTCTTTATATATGTAACATAATTTTAATAAAATGCAAGCTTTTTATTAAGTTGAAATCCCATTGTTTGTTCTATTAAACACCTTTAAAGAAACATTTAGTTTTCATTTTTTTTCCCACTCAATGTTAAGGAAAAAAACTATATATTTACATTTTTATGTCCTTAGTTATTTTATTAGGCTAGATTCCCAGAAATAAGTTCCATTCCCTTACATCTGGCACAAGTTAAGGATATAGTAATACTCAATGAATACTTGGTGAATGGAAAAATACATGAATGGAAATGGGGTTGCTGGGTCACAGAGTTGGTAGTTAAAGCTCACTTGGTGACATTGACTAAGACCCTCTTCACAAATGTAAAACTTTTCACTCCAAACATAATTGTGTAGGGCACCTTCACTTGGAAGAAAAATAGATAGAGTCATGAAAAGCAGCAGCAGCAGCAGCAGCAGCAGACTGAGAGAGACAGAGACAGAGATGGATAGAGAGAAATAGAGAGAGACAGAGAGATACAGAGACAGAAAGACAGACATTGAGAAAGAGAGAGAGAGACAGAGACAGAGAAAGAGAGAGAGACAGAGATTGAAATAGAAACAGGGAGACAATGAATATTAATAATTCTCAAGTATCTCAAGTATCTCTTTTCCCTTTTCCTACTCTCCCACATGCCCCTCTCAGGACAGGCCCTGCATCTCTGAGTTGTCAATCTCTGCCTTGACAGTGCCTGCCACCTGGGACTTGGCTTCACATCCAGGTTAGAACCCAGTGGTCAGAAAAGGACATATCTTTATCTTCCACAGAACGTATCTAAGCATCTACAGAGCATATCCGATTTTCCAAATCCTCATTCAGGGCTGTGAATGTCTTACTTTGTGCGTTACCCTTGTCTGTAGACAAACTCTCACAGTACCAAAGGACAATGCATACCTAGGAGTTTAACTGTTGCTGAAGCCTAAGCAAATTTTTGGCCTTTTAAGCAGATGAGGTTGGCAGTGCGTCCATGACGGGAGCAGGAGAGCAGTCAGAGGCCTGGGGCCTGGGAATGCTTCCACCACAGCTTCTAGGCCCCTACCTGCTCACTGCACAATGTGAGGAAATGAGTTTAGATTGCTCTGTGGATTTACTTTACTGAGACTATAACTAGGCGGCACCATCATTTGGATTTATAGATTTTTTTAGGAAAACATAGAAAATAAATGTTTGAGATAAGAGTGTCCTTGAAAGAACATGTATAACATGCCAATTTAACTTGTGCAAAAGCCAGGCATTTTAAAGTGGAAGGTTATATTTGTCCCCAAGAACGTGACTAGCCTATAAAAATACGGAATTTCGTTCATTTGTTTTTGTTTTGAGATAGGGTCTACATAGTCTAAACTGGCCTCAAACTTTATATGTAGCCAAAGGTGACTCTGAACTCCTGGATCCTTCTGCTTCCACCTCCCGAATGCTGAGATTACAGGTCCATGCCAGCACCCGGCTTACTCCGTGCCAGGCATTGAATCCAGGGCCAGCACTAGTGTTGGGCTGGCGCTCTACCTACTGAGCCACATCCCCAACCTCAGGTCTTTGCCTATTCGAATGAGGTGGAAGCTCAAGTGTGTCCCCTTTGTTTAACATTGCTGAAAAAAAAAATCTCCTTTCTAAGCCTAAATCCAGCTAAGATTAAAAAGTAAAAGTTCACGATGAGCTTCTGTGTATACTACCGAATCTTATAGTCACTTAACAGTTTACCATAAAAAGGGAAAAAGAAGTTCGAGGCCAGCCTGGTCTCCAAAGCGAGTACCAGGAAAGGCGCAAAGCTACACAGAGAAACCCTGTCTCGAAAAACCAAAAAAAAAAAAAAAGGGAAAAAGAGCCGGGCGGTGGTGGCGCACGCCTTTAATCCCAGCACTCGGGAGGCAGAGCCAGGTGGATCTCTGTGAGTTCGAGGCCAGCCTGGACTACCAAGTGAGTTCAAGGAAAGGTGCAAAGCTACACAGAGAAACCCTGTCTCGAACCCCCCCCCCCAAAAAAAAAGGGGAAAAAGAAAAGCTGGAATCAGTTAGCATCCTAATACAATAAAAGATGAAGAAAATGTGACTACAGCTGTAATTTCATACTTTAAAGTCTGAACTGTTGGGTTTTAAATGTTCAACAGCCTGGAAATTTACTCAGTGGACCAGGTCATGCTCTGAGTATGGATTAATAACCCAAAGTAAAACACCCCCAATTTCTCAAAGTTGAAATTTCTTCATTAAATTTTCAGAATATCATTTGAAGTTAAGTTCTATCTCTATGTCCATTTTATAGGTGAGAAAAACTGCCAGGGCCAAGTGTAGAATGAAAAAAAGTCTAGTGATAGAGTGGTCTGGACTGGAAGTGGTATCCTGAACTGCTAGGCTACGAACATCTGTAAATGGAATCATAGCGATGATTCACTCTGTATCTGGAAGACATGCACCCTAGCTGACAGGAAAGTGCGGGTACAATAGAGTGACTTCCAAGAGACATTCTCCCAGTGAGGAGAACACACGTCACCTACCTCCAAGACTTGGAAGCGCTGGTAGATGTAATGTACCATAGCTGGGTCCTGGGCATGTTGTGGTGGGGGCAGAAATGCTGTGAGGAAGAGAACCAGTGAACAAACTCTCCGAAGAGTCATCATCATCATCCTGTACACTCCCCAGCAGCAGAATTTCTTACACTTTGTTTCTCTAAAGAGACTTAAGGGTCCAGGTAGTGTGATCTCTGGTTTTCTGTCTGCCGCTGTGGCAATTCCTTGGAAAACAACGCTTTGCACAGCCAGAGAACAAAGTCCGCTTGTTATTCTACCCAGTGTGTGATCTCAGTTTCAAGCTGGTGATCAAGTCCAGCTGTTGGCAAGTCAGTCCCTGGAGGCCTCGCTTGCTCACTTGGTGCAGAGAGCTCCCTGGGTTCAGCATCTGCTGCCCTCAGCTTGGACATGCACAGACCCTTACCAGGCAAGTGGCTGGCTGCATATTGCTTGTAGATCTAGAGTGTATGAATTGGGGTGGGGGTGGGAGGTCTTTCCGCCCTTCCCCTCCCCCAGCTTTTTTACTTTTGTTTTCCTCCTCCCTTAATGGACTGTGCAGTCCAATCACAGGCCTAGCTCAACACAGGCCACCCCCTGGTTCTCAGTGTTGGAATTTCAGTTCAGTTTCTGGCAGAAATTCCAAGGATCCTTTTCCAGGAAGTTCTGTTAGGAGACCCCACCTCTCTTTCTAGACTTCCTTTGCATTCTTGTAGCTCTTAAAGGCGTAGCAAGGAAATGTGAACACTAATCTATACCATCCCAGAAAAGCCAGTGCGCAGCAGAGGGGTACAATGGGCCACAGGCCTTGCTACTCAGGCTGACAGCTGAGCATTGTCAGGATTTAGATTAAAAGAAATTGCTTTCTTTTTATTTTTAGATGTATATTAAAAATTTATGTGTATGTGTATACATATGAGTGTGGGGCCCACAATGACCAAAAGGTACTATCAGAGATTCCCTGGAGCCAGAGTTACAACCTCTCCATTTGGCTACTGGGAATTGAACTCCAGAACTCTGCAAGAGCAGCAAGTGCTCTTAATGGCTGAGCCATCTCCTCAGCCTTGGAAGAAATTTCATAGGAGGAGAACGAATGATTGACACAGTGGTACCTGCAGCATTGAGCCATCAGGAAATGAAATTCATTGTGAGGAAGTCCTAGAGTTTCCTTAGAATTACCTTTAGCAGCAGGCTAGAAGTTCTGCTGAAGATAAATCACACTGCTAGAGCAAAGACATAAAACCTTGCAATTTTATTTTTTCTGTTCTGCTGCTGTCTATTTATCTTGACCTCTTTTTCCATAAGCAGACCTAGGACCCTACCTCCATGTTTTATTTTTTTATGAATCTCTTTCAAAAATATGGAAAGTTGGAGCATCTATGAAGTATAGAAAGGCCCCTGGCCAGGAGTCAGAAGACTTGATTTTGAATTTGGTCCATACACGAGAAGCTAAAATTGAAAATCTGAGAATTGTCAATTGATGGTCCTCTCTAGTCTTCTTTGACATGATTTTCATCCTAACTGGTTCTCCCCTATATCCTTGGTAAAATCATAAGCAGTAGTTCCTTATTCTCAAGAATAATTGCTCCTGTTTCTGAGAATCATCTTTGAACTCCTCCCCAAACTAGCTGAACTTTAGCTGACTTCTCTTAAATCCTTATTAAAAACAAAAACAAAAACACATCTACCCTCCAAATCTGTGTCTTTCTACTCTTAGATTAGTGAAGCTTATAGACAGCATCAGAGAATTTGTTTTGTTTTGATTTGTTCAGTGGATGGTGGTTGACGCAGAAACTGACAACAGATCAAACTACCGAAAATAAGTGACTATGGCATATTCAGTTACAAACAGGACATCTACATCATAGCCCTTCCCCAAGGCTCAGTACCATCAGGAAAGAGGGGACAGAGGCAGTGTAAATGCCAGAGGTTGGAGTATCTTTTGGACATGATAGGACCTCTGCATCTATTAACTCACAGAAGGTATGGTTTCCTGCAAAAGATCAAGCCAGATGCTCGCCAAAAAGAGTAGGGAGGGGTTCATGAGCCCCCACCCCTGAGGAGCTAAGGACAGATGATGGCTTCTGGGGAAAGGAGAGTCAGTTTTCTTTAAGGTTGACCATGTTCCAGTGGACAGCCCTAGACCTAGAGTTATACGGACAGCACATATTGAAGTTGATGGGTTATTTTTAATTAGGTCTGAAAGGCTGAGGAAACAATTTAGCAGTAAGTATTTGCCTAGCAAGCTCACAGCCCTGGGTTCCATCTCCAGCATCTTAAAAAAAAAAAAAAAAAAAAAAAGTCTGCCTGACATAATCTTTCCAAAGTGAGAATGCTCTCTCCAAAGCTGCTGCTGCTGCTGCTCCTCCTCCTCCTCCTGCTCCTCCTGCTCCTCCTCCTCCCCCTCCTCTTCATTTTCCTTCTTCTTCTGTTTGTTTGTTTTTTGTTCTGTTTTTAGAGACAGGGTTTCTCTGTGCAGCCCTGGCTGTCCTGGAACTTGCTTTGTAGACCAGGCTGGCCCCGAACTCATAAACGTCTACCTCTGCTTCCTGAGTGCTGGGATTAAAGACATGCACCACCACTGTCCAGCTCCAAAACTCCTTGTACTAGGCATTTTTAAATAAAATGCCCCATACTGTGCTGATTTTCTTTCACTAATGCCTCAAGCTGTACCCCTGGGATTGTGAGCTAAGGATGCGAAAGGATCAGTGAGGAAGACCTTGAGTGTATCACAATTAACACTGGTGGTGTGACTGTGCACAGCCTTCCCCTGGCTTTCCTATACCATGCTTACATTATGTATTTTTTTTTTAAACAAAGAAACACATATACAGTGAAGGCTAAAGAACCTCCAGGCAATCAGTGAAGAGGTATCCCCTTGCTTAGATCTCAGGAATTTCCCAAGTCCCCAGGCTGCCTCTTGCTTACTGCTACTCCCCGTTTTTTTGGGAGTGAACTCCAAAGAGCCTGGCTCTGCCTTGGCAGGGATTCGCATTTCTGCCTGCCAGTGACTCAGGCCCCTGCTCTCTCTAAAGTCATCAGTATCACATGGAAACATCTGACTTCTGACTGACTATAGCTGTTCAAATCCCAAGTGGAGGCAACAGATCTTAAACATTAGAATGGATGAGCTGGAGGGCAGATTCATGTTCTTGTGACTAGAGGGTTCATAAAGAAAAGATAAGCTTAGCGTGGAGACCATCCCCACTTTGACTGATGCCCATTGGCTTGCCGTGTCTACTTTTGCTCACAGCAATCCTACTCAGTGGCTGCTGTGTTCGTGAGGCTGGAAAGACATGCCTGCTGTTTTAGCCACAGCAGGCATAAAAACTCTGTGTAGTGTTTCCTTCACAATTAACATCTGGCCTTGACTCTAAGTTTATGAATGAGGATAGTGACCAAGTATTGAGACCCACCTTATTCCTCTACAAGCATCAAGCTCTTCTGCTTCCTGGTAGGAAATACCCCAGCTCTTAGAGACTCACTGCTGTTTACTCAGTGTGGGTAGTCCTAGATCTGAAAGCCCAGCTCTGATCTAAGTGCCTTCCCTGAGTGACTAACCAGTTAGCCACCTTTGTTGTTGGTGACTCCTTTTGTTACATTTTCTTCATGTTAACTAACCACTCACTTGACTTCCAGAGCCTTCTTGGTTCCCAGTATCTTCCACTGTGCTGAGAGATGCTGGGCAACTCTGAGAAAGTCTGTGAGGAGGAGAATCTACCTTATCAAAGAGGCAGAACCCAGCTCAACAGGATCTCCCTAGGGAGACAGAGATTCCTGATTTAGGTGTGAGTGGTGAAGTTTTCTGCTTTCTCTTCTCTCCCTTTTGATACCTTTCTCTTTTCCCCAGCCTTATCCCTTTATCCACTACTCCCCACTCCAGCTACCCTCCCCCACCTAATAGCTATTGCCTTAATGTCTTGTTCAAATCTTTCAACCTCTTACAAGTAATTGCCTTGTTTCCTGCATGAGTGATTGCAGTGGCCTCTAATTCCCTGTGTTCATCTCTAGATGAAGCATTGAGTGATTTATAGCAAAATGAAAGAAGCTCTTTACAACACGACCTTAGCCAACCTTTCTTACTTCAACTTCTACCACTGCCCACATTCATCCTCCACAAGAGTCACGTCTAATTGTCTCCAAACTTCACAACAACATTTGATGATGTGGTGGTTTCTATGCTTGAACTGGGGGTTGCAGGGAGGTACAACCTAGAATATTTTCTCCTGTTGTAACTACAAGTTCTTGCTCATCTTTCTTCAGGTCTTCCTACCACCTGACTGCTACCCAGGCAGGATAGCCGCCTCTTCATCTGTTCTAGAACACTGAGAATTCTGACTTCTGGGAATTTGAGGGAAAGATTCTTCTGGACATGGGTGCTCTGGTGGAGAGGCATGGGTGGGTAGCCTCTGGGGCAGTGGGTGTAGAAAGAGGAAAGGATGTACCATTTTTATGAGCTGAACTGTATCCCTAGATTCCTGTTTGCATCCTAGTCTGTGTGATCTCAGAATATAACTATATTTAGAGACAGAGGTGCTATATTTGGAGACAGAAGTGGTTAAATGAGAGTCAGTTCCTGAGGTCCTGTCTAACTGATGTCACTACAGAAAGAGCAAATTTAGACATAGGTACAGATACAGATAAAAGACTGTGTGTGGGAACAGTGAGAATATCTGTAAGCCAAGGAATGTGGCCTGAGAGAGAGTCAAAGATATGGACACTTTGATCTTGACCTTCCAGCCTCTGGAACTGAGAGAAACCAATCATCTATCATCTAAGTTGCCTGGTCTGTGGTATTTTGTTCTAGAAACCCACAACAACTAAAGTAAGCACTGATTTATAAAATACTTTGGGAGTCTAATAATGGATTACAAGGTGTTATTGGTCAGAAGTGAATTTACAAGGGACTTCCTGGGTGACATACTGTTGAGCACCAACTCCAGCCTTCCCACTGGACATTTGTGCTTGAATATGGGCTAAATACCACATATGTGGCCTGTTTTCAATTATCTTTTTCATCAAACTTCCTTCAGAACTATTTCTTTAAGCTAACAGTGTCATATTTTATCTCTAACAAATGCAGAAATGGAGGCATAATCCTGGATTATATCTATTTAGTCAGTCACTTGCCACATGTATATATATATATATATTCCTTTCTTTTTTATCCTGCTAATTCCTCACTTAATGGCATTTCCTACTATTTTATTTGTTTAGCAAATGTTTTTTGCTACTTATTTGTGTTCCAGGTATTCGACTATACTCTAGGGATACAATGACAGACACAGTAGACAAATTCCCTGTCCTAATAGGTGAATCAATCATATGGGTTCATAAGTACAGTGTACCATAATTGCTATAATTACATGGTTATAAGGACAACACTAATTGCCTCGACAGCACCAGAGAGGGCTCAGTGAATCTGGGTTGACTTCTCAAAGGAAGAAAATCTTAATTAAGGCCCAAAGGATACATAGAAATGAATTCTACAAAGTGGATAATGGGGAGGAGAAGTAGAAAATGTTCCTAAGGTAGAAGCTGCATTTCATGCAAAGAACAATGACCTAGAGAGGGCTTAGCGGACTTGGGGAACTAATGCAAAGGATATATAATGGCATTTCTATGGGGATAGGAGAATGCTATACTTTAGAATTCCCAGGAAATAGACTCTGAAGCCAGTTCACATACAAGATGTCTCTGAGGGTGTGCTTTTTGGAACAATCCTATGAGGAAGGAAGGGAAGAAGACCAGGCAGAGAGGGGAGTTGAATTGCAATACCATTGTAACACAAATCTCAACTGAGTCCACAAGGAGGTTGGAGTCTGGGTGGGCTATTTCAGTTATGTGCCTTGTTGTTGTGAGGAAAATGCCTTACAAAAGCATCTTAAGGAAAGAAGGGTTTATTTTGATTCAGTTTGACTTACAGGGAAGTGAGGATGGTGGGAGCATGACGCAGCTGGTCACGTTGCATCAGCAGTCAGGAGACAAAGAGATGAATGCTGCTGCTCCGTTGCTTTCTCCTTTTTGTTTAGTTCAGAAACCCATCCTGTTCAGGGTGATTCTTTCCTTTCACTTAAACCTTTCTGAAAACATTCTCCTAGACACACCCAGAGGCGTGTCTCCATGGTGATTCTGAACCTAACCAAGTTGACAGTGTAGATTAACCATCACAGAGCCCATTAGGTATGCCCTAAACTGAGGCAAGAGGTCCCTGCCCTGACACTCCAACATCAATCAATTCCTTGATGAGGTAGCTTCCTTAGCTTCAGAACAATTCCCACAGAATGCCTCAGCTAGGAGCTGGGAGTGGTTGACACTCCAAGAGCTTCAGAGATGAGCATCTTTGTCTTCAATAGTAAATTTAGGCAATGCATTGATTACTCCTTCAGCATCATAAGGAGAACCTAGACATTGCCAAGTGTGTAGGACAGGATGGACATTGTAGGAGTCATCATAAGAGCAATAAGAGAACCATAGAATTTGAAGTGAGTAACCTAAGTAGACCTGTGTTTTAAGGAGACCCCCTCTTTGGAGGCCAAACAATAGTTAGATTGGAGAGGTCCAAGACTAAATTCAAGACACAAGATGTATTATAAGATTGTTACAGAGATTTGCAGGAGAATATGAGAGCTAGGATAGTGTCAGTGCAGAAATTTCTAAATGGATGTCTTTCATATATAAGATGTAGAACTGACAGAACTTAGTTACTGATTGAGTGAATGAGTGACACGGTGAAGAAGGAGTCTAGCTGATGGTCAACCTCCATTCTGACCCCTTCTATGTATTGTTTACACTGTAGCCATGGTGATGAGCTAATGTGCCAACTTACTATGAATTTTCCTGCTTAAGAGCCCCGATTGTCTGCCAATTCTTTCCCAATAAAGTCAACATTCCTCAGACTCAGTGAAATCTTTGCAAGTAAACTGTATCTTAGCTGAGATTTACAGGAGTAACTAACTGGTCATAAAAGGGAATATTTATGAGATATACATCCCAGTGGAGGGGGACCCATATATGCAGTTCCACTTAATGCAGCTTTGGCGAGCAAGCTTCCCTCTTAGAATTGGGTACTCTTTGCAGATCCAATCTCCGCAACGCTGCCCTGTCCTTATCACATGTCTCCCACTCAGTCTTGGAGCCTTGTTTGAACACCACACCCTCGCCTGGACTAACCCCTTTCTTCATGGCCTGGGCTCAGATTTGCTTCTGGAACTGACTCTTCTTGTAAGTCACAATTTC